ACCCAAAGACTAAGGGCGAAAACCTTGGTTGACTGTGTCGATCAGTATAGATAAGGTTATATGCTCAGCTTTCACGCAACGACTTACAAGGGTATCAAACAGTAGCGCATTTGCTAAATATTGCGTATACGACTAGTGCATAAATCAATGCTTGCGCCGCACAACAATCGCAGGGAACGGGGACGAGGTCGAGCCAAAAAAATGGCTGCGCCACTCTAAGTATGTCATGAATAGCTAGGGCTGCCTCCATTACTGAATATTTAACGCCAACTCCATAAAATCACAAATTCTGTCAATGGCAAGAGCTAAGCGGTAGACAGTAACTGCCAACTGGCAAGTGGCAAGAAGCAAGTGGCAAGTCGCAAGTGGCATGCAACTGCCTTGCATTTAAAGTTTGCAGTTTATTTCTCTATCGCTTGGCAAGTCTCGCACTGTTTTGTACATTACCGTCATGAATTTCCATTACTCAGCCACCGCATGAGGAGGCGAGGCGGCAACGGCTATGGCCACAAATGTGAGATACGAAGCGCCATAACGCGCCGAGTTTCCAGATTCATCAATGAATTTATCAGTTTTTATAGGCAATTTATTATTTATTGATGGCAATGCCCGTCCGCCCCTCCGCCCGTCCGCCCGTCTGCCTGTTAGCCTGCCCGCCGCAGCTTGCCAACGTCTGCATAAAGTCTATCCATCTCCAGCCGTATATCTAGCATACTTTTCGGAGGGCGGGTGTGGCATACGAAGCAAATGGGCAAGTTACTGGCAACAGATTTCGGACGCTGCGATGCGATGCGCTTGTTTATGGCACTTTTCGATTCGCTTTTTATGAATGATGTTCCCAAAAAGTACGCATGACATATGTACCCATACAACCCATATACATAAACGACACTCTGCGTGCCAGTGCAATGCGGTTGAAGCGTAAAGAAATGAAATAGCGCAAGAAAACGTGCACAAAAAATAGATACAGAGACAGAGAGAGAGAGAGAGCGAGAAAGAGAAAGAGAAAGAGAGAGAGAGAGAGAGAGAGGACAACGATGAATGTAATCCAAACTTGGACTAGAGTTATGCGAAAATAATGAAGCAGCTTCATGGTCGCCTTGCCTCTTATGTGCCGAAAATTATTGCAGTGGCTGTTTACCACTGGCCAATATTACGTATACGCTGCGTGGCCCGACCTCAAAATAGCAACAATTTGTGTAGCGTTGGCATTTAGCTCGATCGAATGTTAATGCAGCTAGCGTGTCGCGACGCCATATTAATTATTTATAATGGCGCATTGATTATTGAAAAGCATAAAATAACTTATGAATATTACAATCTGCGCTCGACCCACTAAATTACCAAATGACAAATGTGACCACAGCGAAAAGTATTAAATATAATAAATTACAAGACGCAAGAATAAAAAGCACAGGCCACTTATACCGACTGCACAATACGCTCTTCAGTTTAACTATTGACACATTACTAACTAGATTTTAAAGTGTTCTTCCACTTGCATTTGTCGAGCTTGCCGACTGTATAGAGCATACAAGCTACATGCCCTGCTGCCTGGACTCTTCCATTAGAGTATAATGATTAAATTGTCCAGTACTCTCAAAGTTATGCAGTAACACACTCACCAGGCAATATATTTATATATTAAACATATTACAATATGCATAAATTAAAAAAAAAAAAGAATGTAATATTGGAAATATTTATGCTGGGCTATTAATATAGCAGCAATGAAATTGCATCAACATCCACAAAAAAAAACTTTTTAAGTAATAATAAGCAATAAATAAAAGCAAAAAGTATTTTATGCTGTTAGCAAATGCTCTTTGCCTCAACCATGCGTTTTTTTTCGAGCTGAAACAAATAATTTTTTGGCAAATGGCAAGTCTGGGCCACCCAGCTGTGGCGAGTGCAGGGTATACAAATATAAATAAATAAAAATTAATATACAATATTAAAGTTTGCTGCGAAACCAAAGGCAACAAGCAAACAAGTGGACAGAACACAAAAGGAGCAGCAAGTTAAATAAATAAATAAATAAAGTCCCAAAAAGGCATTCACTGAGTAAGCTGAAGAGCTCGACGCTCGCTCGCATTGTGCAACTCAAGCAAATTTGGGCGCTGGGTATATTGCTTCAGCTAATGCCCTCCTCTCTTTTAAGCGTGCATTTTACTTGTAGAAGTTTGCTGACGATCCCAATTCTGAAATCGTCCGCAAATTACTAGAGCTAAAAGTTGACATTTGATAGATAAATGCAATTTTCATTTCGAATACAGGAGACTCAACATATGGACTCTGTGCGAGCCAAAACGAATGCAATAAAAAGCCAACATACAGCAGACAACGCGGCGACAGAGCGTTGCCCGAGCTGCGCCGCGGACAGACAACAGGCATAATTGCATGCTCACACGACAGACAGCCAGACAGACAGGCTCACAGACAGACTGACAGAGAGACGGACAGACGAAGGGGCCACTTCGTTCGGGGACTCATTATTATGCACACAGGCGGCCTATTATTTTTAGCGTCGAAGCGAGCGTCGACCAACTCTATGTGTGTGTGTGTGGGTGTGTGGGTGGGTGTGGCGGGCTAACGCGTGACCGTTGCTTTCTTTTTTTTTTGTTGCTGCAATGCAAACATTTTTTAAATGTATATTTGATGACTTTTTGCGTTCGATGAGCGAAACGCCAGCGACAAGGTGGGGGACAGGGCTTAAAATACCATTGCATACTTCAAAGGGCCATCGACACTTATTAATAACAATGCAGGGCGCCTGCTGGCCACTGGCCACTGGCCGCTGGTTGCACTCTGCTGCCTGCTGCACGTACTCAAAAGCGCCTATAATTAATGACAAAAAGCAATTTAAATGCAAATAATACACATGAGTTGCCAATTTACTCGCAGCCGGCGCGGCACGGCACGGCATGGCACGGCGCTGCATGGCACGGTACGGCACAGCCGACCTGCTAATTATACTGTTGTGACACCCACAATGTATCTGTTGTTGCCGCGGAGTTGCATCTCTGCATCTTTCAGCGCTGCCAAGTGCTAAACAATTGTGGCCTAATTTGTTTGTCAACGCTGGCAAAATGGCAAATGCCGGCGGGAAAGAGATGGATTGAGATAAAAAGAAGCTGCTGAACGGAGTAGGAGTGGAGCAAAGGCGAGTCGCGGCTTGATTACGTGCCACTGCATCCAACTGGGAAGTGACTCCATAAACACGTCTAGCAGCAACGGCGGCAACTGGGCGAACGTTATGTGACACACGGGAGAAATTAATGCTGCCAAAATGCGCCGGCTGCGCTCATTTCTGCTCTGTCGCCGTGGCACGTTCCCCAAACAGCCGCAACAACAATAACGCCAGCAATAAGGAGCGGCGACGACAGCCCAGCTAAAAAGAAGTTGCTACCGAGATTTAGCCACAAACTTGCCAGCTTTAATGCGAGCGAAACATGCTGCCGTGGCCTGGCCTGGCCTGCCCTGTCTGCGGCAAGGAGCATTGCTCCTTAAGCTCTTCCTCAGCCCTTTCGCCACCACACTAATACCCTTGCACAGGTTATTAAAGCTTAGCCATGAAATGTGTAACATATTGATATATTGACACACATATATATATATTGGGTATTAGCTGTGTTCTAGCAAAAGTAACTTTTTTCCTTACAATTCAGGATATTAGACCATAATCCCAGATATATTATATAATACTTACAGTACACTCACGTTACTTGGACAACTTAAGGCCAAGCAACAAAAGACCATAGCTATTTTAAAGCCCAGCATTTGCTAACCTTGTCAAATGTGTTAACTTGTCTTGAAGTGATTCGAAAATAGTCACTTTCGCTCTGGCGACAGCTCCTAGTCACATAGACTCTCGAGGGTATTCAGTTCTCGTTGCATCACAGATTGAGTTGCCTCGTTGTTTTCTTTTAATTTAAAGAAAGCCGTCGCAGCAGCGAAAGTCCCAATAGCCGAGGCCAAGGCAGCAGCAATTCCATTCGCAGCAGTAATCGCAATATCAATACGAAAGGCATCTGCACTCCCTGGCAATGGGAACACTGATGATGTCCCGGATTCATCAGCTAAGCAGGGGAAATGGTGCAGGTTCGAGTGAATAAACTGAGATTTACCTAATATCATATAACTCGAATAGGATTTGATATTCGAATGTTTATTTCACATCGAGCAACTGTAAAACACGAAATTTTCCCGAGCTTTAGTTTGATTTTCCATCTGAACTGAGCTTTCGCCAAGTCTTTCTAGCTACTATCATGTAAAATGGAACAGATTCGATGCCCGAAAGTGTATTTCAAATCCTTTGCCTTACTTAACGATTGCCTTTCCGTAGGCTGTAGAGTATTCGACAGAGTGAAGAGTGTAGCCGAATTGGACACCATTGGGCTGGCTCCTTGCTCTGCACTATTCATCAACATTGTTTGCCATTTTGTTTTTATTATTGTATCCCAAAGCCTTTAAAGTCCGGCACGGGCGCCTATAGAAAATCTCTCTATAATAACAGTGGGTGTAGCTGGGTTTATTATGTTCAATGTTTATTTTCGTCCCATTCTGTGTAAAAGTTACGGCTGCTGCTGCTGCTGCTGCCGTTGTTATTGTTGTGTGGTAAAATGCACAATATAAGAGTCTTTGGGCAGTTGAGGTCTGCATTAAAGCGCTCTTTAGCTCAAACAGTAGGTACAAAATTCAAGTGAAGTGAACTCAATTGCAGACGCATTATAACAGTGATTCCTAATCAACTTTATTTGAATATCCATTTGAAACTTTTGCTCGACACTTGGAGATTCGAGCGTCTATGGACGCCCAAGGGAACCCAGCATGTTATATAGTTATATAGTATAGAAATTGCCGAGGCTCTTTCATGCGCTTGTCCCACTGCGACTTCGGCGATAGAAGTCTAAAGTCATCTGGCACAATTGGATTTATAACACAATGACAACGTGCAACTCTCTAAATACCGTAATTTTCATGTTGTTTTTTCCTTGCAGGCGTGCGACTGGGCGAGGGCGTGGGCAGCAGCTCGATAGCCGCTTCGAATGCGCCCTGCCCACCGGAAATGTTTCGCTGCAACAATGGCAAATGCATAACGTCGCACTGGGTGTGCAATTACCAGAAGGACTGTGACGATGGCGAGGACGAGATGCAATCGTGTCGTAAGTATAGTCCAGTCACTTGCCCTCCATAGCACCCATTGGCCGACATGGCAATTACTGATTTTGCTTGTGTTGTCCTTTCCTTTGCCGTCTTGCAGCGCCGCCCGAGTGCGAGTCACCTCAGCTGAACTGCGGCCAATATGTCTTCAATAAGACGTACTGCATTCCCCAGCACTATCGCTGCGATATGATCGAGGACTGTGAGGATAAGTCAGACGAGGCGGAGTGCCGTAAGTAAACCGCATACATATTTAAACAAATTGCCACGCCCCCACGCCCCACTCCACACGGTCTGTCTTCTCCTTTTCAATGCAAATTTGCTGAGTCAGCAAATATTTGTGAGCATCGCTACAGTGCAGCTTCTGCTACACCTAAAACGTGTACTTCCACCTACGTAATCTCCCCTCCCACGTCCCCCGCCTTCTTCAGCAGCCCGATTAAATTTACAGTTCAGTTGGGCTCAGAGTTTCGTTCGGTTCATGTGTGCGCGCCAACAATTTGCTTAGCAAAATGTTTACATTTTATTATACCAATTTTATTTATGCAAATTTTGCCAAATTCACACACACACACACACACACACACACGCACACCCACAGACAGACCGCATTTTGTTGAAAGTTAGCTTTTGGCAATTGCAGATTCCCCCCAAAAGTTGCCAAATTCCAAAGTTAAGTGTGTGTAAGGTGCGCCACGCAAAGCAAAGCCAGAACCATTTGGTCCTGCTTACATAAAGATAGAGGGGCGAGATTTAGGGGGTTAGATGCGGGCAGCTTAACCGAGGGGGGGGCCTCGCCCAGCAGCCATTTTTTTTTTATTTTTTGTTTGACGTTGAATGCTCAAAATCAGCAATTTATGAATTCAATTTCAAATAAGCTTTTCAATGTAACCGAACCGAAGCTCCTTCCACTTCTTCCACATGGCATTTCTCTTAATAGTTTCTTTAGAATTCATGCATCAAACAGAATTTGTCTTGACTGACTAATCGACTGATTGATTGACTAGCATGCGTACATTGAAGCTCAAAACATTTTCATCAGCTTCATTTTTACGTTTCAAATACGCTTATCGGCTGTCATGCATATGAAGTAGAAAATATTATAAAAGTTTAGCTTACTCTCGGGAGTGCATAACTAGGAAATACCTCCAGCACCATGGTGAGCTCGTCATTAGCAACATTCCAGCTCACAGCTCTTCATTTGTATGTCCAGATGCATACACAAGTATTCAAGATGTACATCGATGAATGCTTTGATTAAAGTCTCTTATTGGACCTAATCGATATCGTATAAATTACATAAAAATATAAAAGAAACAAGATACAAAATTTGTTTTAAATTTAGCTACTTTGCCACTCAGCAATGACTTAGAAAAGTTTTCTTAAGCAATGTCGTTCATTAAGGGATTACGAAATATGGATTTCTATTTCAAATTTATATAAGCGAGAGAAGAGTTCTTGAAGAGCTTTTGAGACTGTGAATGATAGAAGAAATGTTGGATTGTCGCCTACGCCTTAGCCTGATCCAGGTATTAGCTGACATATCATGTGATAATTATTGTTCACTTGATTTGATTTCGCTCCTGAACTTGTCACTAAAATATACCTAATGAGATGCCATTCTTCCCAATCCATGTAATAACTTTGAATGAATCTCATTGGAAATCGATAGCTGCCGCTTTTCAGAGGCAAATGCTAATTGAGAGCTCACCCAATGCTTACTCAACTTAGTTTACTTTGAAGATGTTGTGCTTGAGCGGTCTTTGGATTGGCTTTAACGTTTTACTTGCTGCTCCAGCTAGACTCAATGCATCTTCATCTTAAACTAGTAAGGAGATCTCAACTGCTCTCAGACGGCAGACCATGTACGGCACATTTTGATTAAAACTTTGGTCCTAACACACAAAGGGAGGCAGCCTAAACGAATGGGAGAGAATCTGAGAAGCTAGCAGCTGGTTGTGGGTGTGGGTTTGGGTGTGGGTGCAAAGGCCAGCTGCATTTATTGCTTGTTATTTAAGATTTATAAATTTAAATATCTTTGAGCGACCAACTCCTAAGTACTCCGTTGCCTTTACAACTTTGCTTAAGCTTTGACTGACGCTAGACAAACGCGCACAACTTTGTCCTCGATGTGGCAGTCCTTGTTCTCTCGTCCTCGTCCTCGTCCACGTCGCCCCAAACAGCTCTCTCATATTGCTCCTTGTTATAGTTGTTGCTTACTCTGTTATTGTTATGCTTCTTCTTGGTGTTGTTGCTGTTGTTTCGACTGCTGCAAGATGGCCAATTTGTTGGAAAGCAACGTTCAGCTCGTTCCGCATCTCTCGCCTCTCTCTTGCCTCTCTATAGGCATTGACTAGCGCAAGATCAAGTTTAAATTTTGTTTTAATTTAATAAGATGCGAGCCAAACTCTTGCTCGGTTTTGATATCCTCTACCCATTGAATAGTCTTTTGACCATGGGTATGTTCAGGTTTCGAAATGACGCTAACGGGGCGTAGAAACGTTATGTGGCTCAAGTGATGGAATACATCTAGCCATGTCCCCTTTCTGTCTGCACATAATGTCTTCTTATAAGTCTCACTCTCTTTGCTCTCTATTTTCTATATCGCCTGTCTCTTTCTTTAAGTCTCTCTGCCTCTATCACTGTCTCTTTCTATGCCGTGCACTGTTTCTTCCTTTCAGCCTATCTCTCTCTCTCTCTTGTTCACCCTTTCTATCAAGCTCTCTGTTTCACTCTTGCTGTCACTTCGTCTCTGTCAATCTATCTATCACTTTTTCCCTCTTTCTCCATTTGTCTCTCTCCCTCGCTCTCTTTCTCCATTTGTCTCTCTCCCTCGCTCTATCTTTCACTCTATATATCTCTCTCTAATTATTCATATATCTCTGTCTCTGTCTCTGTTTTTAAATCTCTCTATCCCTTTCTCTATATCACTAGTGTCCTCTTTGTCCACTTCTCACTTTGTTTTTCTCCTTTGTTTTCTCAATCACTCTCCTTCTCTTCCTTTTTTCTCTGTCACACTCTTTCGCACTCTCCCACTTTCTCTCTCTGGCTTTTATTTTTTCAGTGCCTCCAGCTTTCTCTCTATTTATCTCTTTCCGTCTCCAAGTCCAGCACCCTCTCTCTCTCTCTCTCTCTCTTCAATCTAATCGTAGGCACATACAGGGTACCTTCTCACCGATCAGTCACTCACTCGCCTCTGAGATTGTGTGCGTCTGTCTCTTACAATAATTTATCGCGCTTAAATGGCGACAAAATGTTCGCTCTTATTGCGTTCTTAACTTATTTATTTTGCGTACGTGTCAACGCGTCGTCTCTGAATGCTTTCCCTGTCTGCTAGCTGTCTGTCCTCAATTTCCATGCTGGTGTCAGGGGCTGATTTGTGTGTGCTTATATATGTATGCCTGTACGCCAGTGTGTGTGTGGCTGTGTGTGTTGATATGTGTTTGCTTTGCGGGTGTTTGTCTGCGTCTCCATCACCGTTGGCATCGCCATCGCCATCGCCATTGCCATCGCCATCGTCATCTCCATTTCCATTTGCGAGCACCTTTGTTTATTTAATTTATGGCATATAAATATTAGAGCGAGCTTATTTCAACTATTTAATTACTTCAGGTGTGCGTTAAGTTGTTTGTTTTGCCCCTGGAAATTAAACGTGAGCTTTTCTCACCGCTGCTTTGCATGCGACGCACTTCACAGCCGTAAGAGCTACCGCAACCCGAGGATCTAAGGCTCTGGCAACTAATAGTTTTACAGCAGCTTTAAGCAGAGCATTAAATAAAAAAAATAAAAATTAAAAGAGAAAAGAAAAATCCTTTCGACGAGGTCAAAGGGTGCTTACCTACCCAGGCAGGAAGCACGACCATTGAGTGTTTAATTAAATGTCCTTATGCAGAAGAAGCGAGTCTGCTGGTACGGTATAGTTGGCTTGGCTGCTGTAAGTAGAGTAACTCGACACGCAAGTGTTTTGCAGCTTTGGTCCTGCTATTGCGTCTGTGGATAGTAACTCGAAAACAGCAATGGCTTCAGCCCACACCTTGAACAACCTGGCAGGAGGTGTGCTTCACAAAAAGAGACAGGCAAACTGCTTTTAATTGCAAACTGGGTTCGGCATCCAAATGCGCACAGGGTGGAGCGTGTGGCGGGGCAACTAATGAGGCAGCTGCCGCACAAAATGGAAGAAGCGTAAAAAGTGCGTAAAAGCGGGCAGCCAGCCAGCCAGCCAGCCACCTCTAAAAGGTGAACAACAAAAATGATCAACTCGACTTGTAGTCCGTTGCCCAGAAGTGGGTACATTTGGCATTCCATCCACTACACTTTCACTAAACGTTGCTTCCACACTTCCCTCCATCTCTCTCTCCCCCTCTCTCACTCGCTCTGTTGCGCCCTATTGCAGGCAAAGCTGTCGTAAACTGTCGTTGAACCCGGCGAAAGTTGCCAACAACTGACGTTTATTTGACTGCAGCTGTCAGGCCAGTTAGACGTGCAGAAAAGCTCTGAGCCATGTAGCCCAGAGGAGATGGACAGTGGACGAGTGGCTTGCCGGTTGGCTGGTTAGGGGCTTGGGTGGTTGGGCTGCAACTTGTCGCGCGTAATTACACAAGCCAATTCAACACACAAACACACACGCACACGCACACAAATACACACTTTGGAATCACAACTTTTACACAACGCGAATCGTTGCCGCCTGCGATAAATGTTAATGCACACATCCGAATCAGCTCCACCCTGCTGGCTGCAGGTCTCCCCTTCGAGCACGCCCACACTTACCAATTAGAAAGTGTTGCACGGCATGGCTGGACTCACATCGTGATGCGAGGAAGGCAAGTGGCAAGCACAAGCCAGTGGCCACAGGGCACTTCAAAGTTCTCCGCTCCCACTGCCGCCGCTTGCCGTCGCTCTTCGCTGTGTTTATAAAGTGCCAACAACAGTGCTGCGCTCGCAGCCAGTTAAAGTTTTCTGTTAAACTTTGTGCGAACTGAACAAAATGTGAAAAATGAAGCAGCAGTCGAGCAGTGCCATGCAGCAGCCAACAGTTAACGGCCTGGCAGCCCACAGCCCACAGCCCACAGCCCACAGCCCGACATTCAGCATTCAACATTTTTATGACCTTGCACAAAAGTTGCAGTCAAGCGTCCAACCACCCAGCCAGCCAAGCAGCCAACCACCCACTCGTTTGTCATTATGATTTGTTTTTAATGTAATGCAACAGCAGCGAAAGCGAATTTGCAACAAATTGTGCGCGTTAATCTTGTCAATGGCCAAGTGCGAACCAGCCAGCTGTAACTGCAACTTTAACTTCTGGCTCAACTGCAACTGCAGCTCAGCCCAGCAAGTGTCTTGCCACTTTGAATGCAGCAACCCCCGGCTGCCCCAGCAGCATCAGCAGCTTAACGCTCAAGTTAAAGTGCGTGACACATTCCTTATACCTCTGCTATGAAGGCATTCCGAATTCATCACGAATTATGTGACACTAAGCCATGTGAACAAGGCTGACAATGTAGAGCCCTGAGCACGACTTATGTTATCTCCATAAACTGCTCATGATTATAGGAATAATAGAATTACTAATTATGATATGATAATAATGATCGCTGCTGTGGTCAGGGTATTTACGAGTCGTGTACTCCTTTGCTCTTGCTTGATAACGAAGATGAGAATACTCATGTCCATAAAGAGGATTACAGAACTGAAAGCAATAATTCTAATGATCTTAAAGTATGTGCTAGTCGTGCACGCCCGGCCATAGCAATGTGGCTAATGCTTATTTGTTTAACTAAAGTTTCCAACTTGTCGTCGAACAACAATATTGAGTTGCATCAGTCATTGTCATAGTCGCTGGCCTGCTAGGGTATATGATCTTCAAATTGGCAGCAAAGACGGCTTCTCTATCTTGTTTATGATTACTAACCACTCCACAGATGCTTGAGCTCATTCTGGGCGCCGACGCTGCGTCGCAGTTGTCTCAGTTTTAGCCTCTATAAAGTTGGACTAGGCGCTCACATAGTCAATAGCCAAGGGATGGTGGGTGGTTGCAGATAGGAATGCTGTTGGTAGGGGCGGGTAACGTAACGACTACAGGAATCGTGGCTACCTGCACGCACACACACACATTTTATTGTTGTGCTACAAAAGTTTGTGCTGCCGGGGAATATTTATACAACTTGGCTTGTTTAACTTGCACTAATTAAGTTTGCTCTGCTACACTTGGCTACCCCAGTACGCCGTTAATGTGAAGCAGCAGCAGCAGCAGCAGCTACAACAACTGAGTATAACAACAGGAATAACAGAAGCAACAGCAGTCAAGACGGGCTCTTTTATGAGTGGCGGATGGCGGATGGCGGTAGGTGGAAAAAAAACCTTTGGAAACTTTATTATGCCTACACCGAAAGTAACTTGAAAGTGGCATAGATCATCATCTCCCGGTCGCTCTATCTCTATCTCTGTCTCTGTCTCTGTCTCTATTGCGTATCAGTTGTTGTCTCTGATGGCAAGACGTTTAATTCGGGCGGCCCATTGCCAGCACATGGCGTATTATCTGAGCATTGCCATTTAAGCCAGAGCCTGAATGAAGCAGCAATAATTTTGCCACAACTTGCGCTGAGCTGAGCTATGGCCACCTCTTTCTTGTAGCCAGCTTGATGGACTATGCCCCTAACCATGCCCGCAATCCCGTTGCGGCCCGGCACTGCAACCAACTACTCGATAATTTATAGCACTTTGCCTGCCAACTCACAACTCAAGTGCGCAATACGAGTACAGTGAGCACTCGCTGAACGAAATCTTATTCGGAACTATGTTCGCAAGATTTCATTGAATCTAAAATTCTGAACTTGAAGCGTGATCCATAGTCGCGCAGCTGTCTAAGAGATCCAGTTCGTTGTAAGCCACGTTTCTATAGCAGCATATTGAATTGTCTATAAGACAAAGGCCGCGACAAACCACTGTGCGGCGAGAGTCTGTGCGAGTTAGAGGCGGGCGGACAGAGCCTGAGTAAGACAGAAGTAGAGCGACCAACGACAGCTGGACGGCCTGCTACGCCCGACGTATCTACAGCTGTATGCATTACGTATACGCCATGCGTGCCCAACCGTTCTCTTTGTATATGTGTGGGTACTTGCCACTGACAGGGGTCGGTCGCTCTTGCTCCATGTTGCCAACCAGACAACGCCACATCGCCCCATCGCCCCATCGCCCCATCGCCCAATGTCTGGCATCAAAATTTAATGTCTTTGGCAGCAATAGTTGAGCGCATGTATTTTGCAGGCATTTTTAAGTTCCCAGGCGCCTGTGGTGTGTCGAATCTACTCCCTGGCGGTCTTCACACTCCACATCTGTGTGTTGTTTGAACAATAGCAACGAATGGAGGCGTCAGGTCATGCGCGTCCATTCTGGCAACTTGCTTTAGGCACGGGTCTGGGCCTCGTCCGTCGCCTGCTGTGCTTCCATTTTCTTGGATCTGTGCTAAATTATTGCCCAATAGCAGCCCGAAGGCAGCGGAACAGGCAGGTCACACGCTTAATTGGCAGGCTCGCCTTTGAAGTGGACAACTGCCAACTGCCAACTGCCAACTGCCGTTTGTCGAGCGTGTTGACATAATGTAAATTTGATTAATTTGTCGTTGAGGCCGCACACACTGCTAAGCAGACTGCCTACGCCAACGCAAGCCCATTACCCGGAAAGGAGACTTCACACTGTGTACGGGTCCAATAACAACAATCAACGTCAATATCACACCTCCGGGCCACTCGTGTGTGTGTGTGCGTGTCTACATGTCAGATGAAGGCTAGTTGCTCTATAATTAAGTGTAGTGACAGGGACGCATCCCAATCACCAATCACCTCAACTGCCAACCACCCAACCACCATACAGCCAATTAATTTATGTGTCTGCTTGGAACTAGCTGCAAGACCAGAGCAACAAAAACCAACCTCAACTGTAGCTGAGCACTCAAATACAATGGAACACTTATCACTTAACACTTATCACTTTTACTTTTACAGTTTGACTCAAAGTTGAGCTGTTTGTCTTTTAAGTGCTATAACTATGTGTGCCGAGACTTTTGTTGGGCTCGGAAAAATGTGAGAAAGTGGGGAAGACCTAAACCTATTATAGATCAATAGTTTTTTCCGATGTTTTGATTCATTTTCCTGGTATCAAATAAGAAACTAAGTTTGAGTAATTTTTTTATCTTTTAAAGTATACTATATATATATATAACAGCATCAAAGGAAGTCACCAATTCACCCACTGACAATGGCAATTTAGATCATAAAGTTTTTAGACAGTGCGTGGCACAGGCAGCTGGAGACATGAACATAGCATAAAGTTTATGTATTCTGGAACAGAACGACGACCATCTGTCCGTCCGCCTGTCCGCCTGTCCGCCCGTTTGTCCGTCTGTGTGAACGTAGCTAAGCCACAACAGCTAAAGACCTGAAATATATTCTCGTGTCAGACATACGCAGCACGAGCTTATCGTTTGTTCTCGATGACTCATTCCATTTCCTGACTATCGATAAGTATCGATAACTTGACTTCATTTTTAAGCGCAGCTTGAATACCACCACAGATGGAAACATGCAATTTACTGTGACCCAAATACCTCCCCATGCTTCCCTTTTGTAGAGCCTAGAGACTATAGACATGTGCTTTGGCAACTAGTACGAAAAGTTAGTTATGCAACCATTAATCGCGCTTAATAAAGCCCTTGTAAAGAGGCATAGAAAATTTGAGCATCAGCTAATCGCAGGGTTCTTTTAACATTATCTCTGCCAGAAGCATAAGCATGCACATACATATATTCGTCTGTTGTGTTCTTAGATCGATTTATTTTTTTATCAATGCAAACGTCAATTTTGTCCACAGTTCAAGTAAACAGAAAAGGATTTGCAGCTCTGCAAATTGTGCTACAATTCGAATTGATTTGGCTTGCAAATTGTTGGGAGCTTTGTGTGTTTTTGTTGCTCTTTTGAGCAGTATTTAAGCTGAAAGCCCGCTTTTGTTGTAGCCACTATTTGTCCTGATTTCATTCCATTTCGATTCGTTTCATTCCATTTCGTTTCTCACAGCTTATCGCAAGTGCTTGCACACGGACGTGTTCTGCAATGCGCCTGGTGGGTCAGCTCCGGCGGAGGGCAGCCGCCTGACTGGACCGTGTGTGCCGAAGGAGAAACGCTGCAATGGTTACTTGGACTGTCGTACCGGACGCGACGAGGAAGGCTGCAGTGGTGTCCCCTGTCGCTTGGATCAATTTCGTTGCGCCAACGGACAGAAATGTATTGATGCGGCGCTGAAGTGCAACCATCGCAACGACTGTGACGACAACTCGGACGAGCAGGGCTGCAGTGAGTATAAGACAGACAAAATGCCTAACATTGGATCACAACTGCTACGTTTGAATCGTCCTTGCAGACTTCCCCCCTTGCCATCATGCGCAATTCCGTTGCACGAATGCGCTCTGCATTCCGTACAACTTCCACTGCGACGGCTACAACGACTGTGCCGATGAAAGCGACGAGGCGAACTGCACGGCCATCGCCTGTCCCGACAACAAGTTCCTGTGTCCACGTGGCGGCATCAATGGTGCACCCAAGTGTATACTCAAATCGCAGCTGTGCGACGGCAAGCGCGACTGTGAGGATGGCAGTGACGAGGAGACGGCATGCTGTAAGTACTACGTCCCCTCTCCACCTCTCCCCCGCCATTCCAGCAATTAAGCCACTAACAAAACAATATTCTTGCAGCCATTGACTCCTGTCCAGCGCTCAGCTGTGAGTTCAAGTGCGGACCCTCGCTAAATGGCGGAGTCTGCTACTGTCGTCAGGGTCAGAGTCTGGCGCCGGACAATCGCACCTGCATCGACCTGGATGAGTGCGCCGAGTGGGGCCACTGCGACCAACTGTGCACAAACACACCCGGCAGCTATACCTGCCAGTGCGCCCAAGGCTATATGCTCATTAATTCGTCAAAGTGCATTGCTCCGGATGCAAACAATCTGCAGCTGATCTTTGCCCACGATCGTGCCATCATGCGTATGAACGCGCACGACAGCGAGCCCAAGATCCTGGCCAATGCCACTGCCGCCGCCGGCGTCGCCTTCCATTATGCCCGCAATACGCTCTACTGGTCGGACATTAAGACACGCAAGGTGCAATCGCTGCCATTGGATGTATTAAACAGCGCCGTGGCGCCTTTGGATCAAACATTGCCTGGCACCTGGGCACCGGTGGCCCTGGCCGTTGACTGGGTGGGCGATAAGATTTACGTGGCTGATCTTGTGGGCCAGAAGATTGATGTCTTTGAGCTAAGCGGTCACTGGCATGCCGTTGTGCTCGGCTCCAATCTCACCAGTCCCGCCGATCTGGCACTGGATCCCACCGCCGGACTCATGTTTGTTGCCGACGGTGGTCAGGTGCTGCGCGCTCACATGGACGGCACGCACGCCCGCTCCATTGTCTCCGAGGCGGCCTACAAGGCGAGCGGCGTCACAGTCGACATAATTGGCAAGCGCGTCTTCTGGTGTGACTCGCTCCTGGACTACATTGAATCGGTTGACTATGAGGGTGGCCAGCGTGTCATGGTGCTGCGTGGCCAGCAGGTGCCCAGCCCCTCACGCCTGGCGCTATTTGAGAATCGTATCTACTGGACGGATGCCACCAAGCAGGGCATAATGTCAGTCGACAAGTTCGAGGGGCCCAGCTCTATACAGGTGACCTATAAGGCCAAGGACATACGCGAGCCGAAGGGCATTATTGCTGTGCACGCGCTTAGCCAACCGCATGTATCGAATCCGTGCGGCAACAACAATGGCGGCTGCAATCACATGTGCATCGTCACAGCCGTAAAGGGCGCTCCAACGGGTCTCGGCTTCCGTTGCGCCTGCCACACGGGCTATCAGCTACAGACGGATCTGAAGAACTGCAAGCTCGTCCGCGAATTCCTAATGTACTCGCAGCAGCGCTTCATCAAGGGCAAGGTGCTGGAGCCGGTCATCGAGGGCTTCAGTGATGCCATACTACCGGTTGTCTCCCGGCGAGCCCGTTTTGTCGGTCTCGATTTCGATACTCGTGATGAGTTCATTTACTACTCAGACGTGCTGCAGGACGTCATATATCGCGTGCACCGCAATGGCACTGGCCGCGAAATCGTGCTAGCCTCACAAAATGAGGGCGTCGAGGGATTGGCGGTGGACTGGGCATCTAAGAATCTCTACTACATTGACTCGCGCAAGGGCACACTCAATGTGCTCTCCACACGTAACGTAACTCACCGACGCACTTTGCTCAAGAATCTGAAGCGTCCGCGCGCCATCGTCGTGCACCCCAATCGCGGCTACATATTCTTCTCGGAGTGGGATCGTCCCGCAAACATCACCCGTGCAAATACCGACGGCAGCGGTCTTTTGGTATTCCGCAATGTGACCCTGGGCTGGCCCAACGGTCTGTCCATTGACTTTATGGAGGATCGCGTATATTGGTGTGACGCTCTACTGGATCATGTGCAACATGCCAATCTCGATGGCACGGACATCAAAACCATTAACTCACGCCTGGTGCGCCATCCATTCTCCATTGTGATCCACCACGATTGGATGTATATTACAGACTGGCGACTGGATGCAATCATTCGACTGCACAAGCTCACCGGCGAGCAGGAGGAGATGATGGTGCGCGAGCCGCAAACGAACCGACTCTACGGCGTCAAGGTGTACAGCCGAGAGGTGCAACATATTACCGAAACACAGCCCTGCTATCTAAATAACGGCGGCTGCCAGAAGATATGCTTTGCCATTCCCATTTCGCAGAACGAGTCGACTGCCGTGGCTAGCCGCTTGCAATCGCGCTGCTCGTGTCCTTACGGCGAGCGACTGGCTGAAGATCAAGTTAGCTGCATTCCCGACCCCAGCGCTGAGCCCCCGGTCCAGCCCTGCCCCAACATATGGGACTTTACCTGCAACAATCAACGTTGCATACCCAAATCCTGGCTCTGTGACGGCGACGACGATTGCTTAGATAACAGCGATGAGGAACAAAACTGCACAAGTAAGTAGTTGTCTGACTAAGGGGGAGAAAGGGTAAAGCAGCTAGGAGGGAAACAATTGCAGTCGGTGAGCAGATGTCTTATAAGTGAGTGATGTCTGAAAAGAGAAATTAACAAGATCTTTCTTTTGTGATAGGCTTATCAATAGATAAGATCAACAGCTAGTCACACCTCTACGACAAATTTTTAAAATCCATTTTGCTTATTAATTTTGAACAGAACCCACCTGTGGCTCGAACGAGTTCCAGTGCAAGTCAGGACGCTGCATTCCACTGAACTTCCGTTGCGATCAGGAGAACGACTGTGGCGATAATTCGGATGAGGTCGATTGCGGCAATGTCACCTGTGCCACATCCCAATTCGCCTGCGCCAATGGACGTTGCATACCCAGCATGTGGAAGTGCGACAGCGAGAACGATTGCGGCGACAGCAGCGATGAGGGCGAATTTTGTGCGGAGAAGACCTGCGCCTATTTCCAGTTTACTTGCCCCAGAACGGGGCATTGTATACCGCAGAGCTGGGTGTGTGACGGCGATGACGATTGCTTCGACAAGCAGGATGAAAAGGACTGTCCCCCGATAAGCTGTCTGGCCAATCAGTTCAAGTGCGCCGATCTGCGTCAGTGTGTCGAGGAATCGTACAAGTGCGATGGCATACCCGACTGCAACGATGGCAGCGATGAGCTGGGCTGCCCCTCAATGGGACCCAACCAATGCAACGTGGAGAAGCAGTTCCGCTGCAAGTCAAGTGGCTCGTGCATACCCATCGCCTGGCACTGCGACGGCACCAACGATTGCCCGGATAACTCGGATGAGGAGGACTGCGGCCAGATCACATGCGCGCAGAACTTCTTCAAATGCAACAACACCAATTGCGTGTTCAAGGCGTACATCTGCGATGGCAAGGATGACTGCGGCGACAACTCGGACGAGGGTACAGAGCACGCTTGTGTGCCGCCACCTTTCAAATGCCCCCATGGCCAGTGGCAGTGTCCAGGCGTGACAGAACGCTGCGTGAACATAACATCCGTTTGCGATGATACGCCCGACTGTCCCAACGGGGCCGATGAGGGTGAGGGCTGTGATTTGGCCGAATGCGAACATCAGTCGGGTCGGTGCTCTACATTGTGTCAGAAAACACCCAATGGAGCGCTCTGCGTATGCCCGCCAGGCTCGGAGATCGGCCCGGACGGATTCACCTGCGTCGATACCAATGAATGTGATCCACCTGGCCTCTGCTCTCAGCAGTGCACGAACACAAAGGGTTCCTACTTCTGTTCGTGTACGCAAGGCTATGTCCTGGGTCCCAACAAGCACACCTGCAAGGCAGTAAATCACACAGCTGCCTTCTTGATTATATCCAATCGACACTCCATATTGGTGGCCGATCTGAAGGAACAGGGCCTGGAGCGTGTGCCGATTATCGTGGAGAATGTGGTGGCCACCGCCTCGAACATGCACACTGGCACCATTTTCTGGAGCGATATGAAGCTTAAGAAGATATCGCGACTTGATCACGGCATGGAACCACAGGAAATCATTACCACCGGCTTGGATTTAGTCGAAGGCCTGGCCTATGACTGGATTGCGCAGAACCTGTACTGGCTGGACAGCAAGCTGAATACAATTGAGGTGTCCGCAGAGAATGGTTCTAACCGCTTGGTACTCGTACGCGAGAGCATCACACAGCCGCGCGGCATGTGCATTGATCCCAGTCCGGATGCGCGTTTCATTTTCTGGACTGACTGGGGCGAGAATCCACGAGTCGAGCGTATCGGCATGGACGGCACCATGCGCAAGACAATTATCAATACAAAGATTTACTGGCCCAACGGTCTGACTCTGGATATTGCAACAAAGCGTGTCTACTTCGCCGACTCAAAACTAGACTTCATTGATTTTTGCTACTACAACGGCACAGGACGTCAGCAGGTGTTAGCCAGCAGCCACTATCTGCTGCACCCTCACTCGCTCTCCCTGTTCGAGGACACGCTCTACTGGACGGACCGACAGCTGAACCGTGTTCTGTCAGCCAATAAGTTCCGCGGCAAAAACCAAACTGTCGTCTCGCATCTGATTAGCCAGCCGCTCTCCATACACGTGCATCATGCGTCGCTTCAGCCGATGTATCCGAATCCATGTGCCGCAGCCCGTTGCCAGCATCTCTGTCTGCTCAGTCCAAGCGCGCAGGAGGGCTACTCCTGCAAATGCAAGCCGGGCTTCAGGTTACACAGTGAGGGGCGCTGCATTGAGGAGGAGAATCCCTATCTGATGGTGGTCAAAGGAACTCAGATTGTTGATCTGCCTCTGAACGGTGGTGATGCACGTGCCGGTGCCTTGGCGCCCGTCATTGGCATCGAAAGCAGCACCGGGCTGGACTTTGACCGGAAAGGCGAGACGCTATATTGGGTGCAGGGCCGAGAGGATGACGACGAAAACTGTACCATTTATACGACTCCCTATGGAGGAGGCAACAAGACGCTGTTCCTGGGTGTCGAAAATGGCATTGTGGGCGCACCCTATACCATCGCCTTTGACTGGCTGGGCCGCAATCTCTACATTGGCAATCGCGTTGCCAGCAACATTGAGGCAGTGCGTGTGGACGGAAAGCAAAAGTATCGCACTGTGATTCTGGCAAATAATGGCACCGAGAGCTCCGTTTCGAAACCGAAGCAACTGGTGCTGGATCCAAGTGAGGGAAAGCTATTCTGGATAGACGAGGGAGTGCTTGAAATAAAAATAGCACGGGTTGATATGAACGGTCAGGATGCACGTGTCTTGCGCAAGGATCTCAAGCACCCGGAAAGCATTACCTTGGACACCGAGAAGAAGATGATATACTACAGCACCAGCTCGACAGCATCGATCTGTTCGATGGACTACAACGGCGACGGTCACAGGGTCATACTTGACGAGAAGCAGGCCATTTCGCGTGTCCGCAGCCTGGGCGTTTTGGATCATCGGCTCTACTACCTGGATCCCACTTATGAGAAGATTGTGCGCGTTGACTTACCGAAGGGCAATAATCCCAAGACGATCGTCGACAACGAACCCGAACTGCGCAGCATGATGATCTACAAGAAGCGCGCATTCATGCAGCATCCCTGCCAAACGTCGAACGGCGGCTGCAAACAGCTCTGCATACCAGGTCCATCTGCATCTAGGACCTGCGCCTGCGGCATTGGCTACCTCAAGGAGAACGAAATTAATTGCGTTGCCTACAAGACATTTGCTGTCGTCTCGCAAGTGGACATGATACGCGGCTATAGCTTGGAGGGCAGCTCCGAGGCCATGGTGCCAATCAGCGGTCCTGGCCACTACATCCGGCACGTGGACATTCTTTTCCGCGAACAATGGATTTATTGGGCCGAGTTCCATCGCGGCTATTGGAACGGCATATTCCGATCGCGGCCCAACGGCACCGACCTGCAGCATGTGATCAAGGATGGCATTGGCAGCAATGGCATACATGGCTTGACCATTGACTGGGTGGCGGGCAATATGTATTTCGCAAACGTGTATCCGCACGAGAACTATGTGGAGGTGTGCTGGCTGGATGGAACCAATCGCAAGGTTCTGGTCAAGAAGACGAATGATGCGCCGCGCGAGCTAGCTGTTAACCCCATCAAGCGACTGCTCTACTGGATTGATCATGGCCAGCATCCACGCATAGGCAAAGCCCTGCTGGATGGCAGTGACTGGATACCACTGGTCACCTCTGGCATTTCGCAACCACGAGACTTGACCATTGACATGCAAACGCACGATGTGTACTGGGTGGACTCTAAGCTGGATACGATTCAGAAGATTTCCTACAACGGCGTCAATGCCAAGGTCATACGCCGTGATCTGCCCAATCCTGTGGGCATTGCCATCTTCCTGAACGACGTTTACTGGGTGGATGGCAATCTTATGACGGTCTTTAAGGCCTCCAAGCTGTACGGCAACAACAGCGATTCCACGCCCGTGCGCACCAATTTGGAGAAACTGAGCGACATTGCCATCTACGACATCAACAATCAGCCAACCGACGACAATAATCCGTGCGCCAAGCTAGGCAACGGCGGCTGTGACCAGCTCTGCTTCAGCTTCCCGCAAGGCACCACGAACCGCAACTATCGCTGTGATTGTGCCACGGGTAAACTGGCTGACGACGGCCGCAAGTGCGAGACAGTCAATGAGTATTTGGTGTTCGCTACGCGCACTGAGATTCGCGCCGTTAACTTGGATCCGCACTCGACTGAGGTGCCATTTACGCCACTGACGAATCTGACCAATGTTGTGGGCCTGGACTTTGACTTTGCCGACAATCATATGCTGTACACCCAGATTCGGCCCTGGGCCAAGATCGCCTACACTTCAGCGAACAAGCCGAGCCACAGTGACATTAATGTGGTGCTTAGCAAGGGTATCAATCCGGAGGGCATTGCCTATGACTGGACCCAGAACAAGATCTACTGGACTGACAGCTCCAACAACTCCATCTATGCCATGAATCTGGGCGGCACCGAGCTAGTGATGATAGCGCGCGTTGAACGGCCACGTGCCATTGTCTTGGATCCATGCAACGGCACACTCTTCTTTACGGACTGGGGTCGCTTCGGTACCTCCGGCAAGATCTTCCGCACAACGATGGCGGGCTCATTGAAGCGCGCCATCGTTGACAAAGAACTGTCCCAGCCGAGTGGCTTGGCCATTGACTACGACGACCGTAAGCTCTATTGGACGGATGCGGTGCGCGAGAAGATCGAGCGAGCTGATTTGGATGGACGCAACAGAGAGCTGCTGGTGGCCGCTACAATTTACCCCTTCGCTATAACCGTTTTCCGAGACTACATCTACTGGACGGATCTGCAGCTGCGTGGCGTGTATCGAGCGGAGAAGCATACGGGCGCCAACATGGTTGAAATGGTTAAGCGGCTAGAGGATTCGCCCCGTGATATACGTATATTCAGTTCCGATCGGCAGAAATGTAACGTCAATCCGTGCAACATCAACAACGGCGGCTGTGCCCAAAGCTGCCATCCGGCGCCAAATGGCAAGGCCGAGTGCAAGTGCGACGACAACTCCAAAGTGGTCAACGAGGGACGGATGTGCGCGCCTAGAAATAACACGTGCGAGGCCAGTAAATTCTACTGCAAGAACGGCAAGTGCATTTCGCGAATGTGGTCGTGCGACGGAGATGACGACTGCGGCGATAATTCCGACGAGGATCCCAACTACTGCGCGTATCACTCGTGCTCGCCCAACGAGTTCCGCTGCAACAATGGACGCTGCATCTTTAAGTCATGGAAGTGCGATCACGAGAACGATTGCAAGGACGGATCCGATGAGCTAGGATGCACTTATCCACCCTGTGTGGATGGCGAGTTCACCTGTGCCAATGGACGCTGCATCCCGCAGGCACAGGTCTGCAATGGCGTCAACGATTGCAAGGACAACGCCACCTCCGACGAAACGCACGAGCGCTGCCCCATGAACACCACCTGCCCGCACAACCATCTCAAGTGCGAGAAGACGAACATCTGTGTGGAGCCCTACTGGCTGTGCGACGGCGACAACGACTGCGGCGACAACTCGGACGAGGATCCCCTACATTGCGGCCAGCGCACGTGTCCATCGAATAGCTTCCGTTGTCCCAACCATCGCTGCATTCCAGCCACTTGGTACTGCGACGGCGATGACGATTGTGGCGATGGCGCCGATGAGCCGCCAGACTACTGCAAGTCCGAGGGACGCACCTGCTTCGGCGATCTGTTCACCTGCGACAATGGCAACTGCATACCGCGCATCTACATCTGTGATGGGGACAACGATTGCTTGGACAACAGTGACGAGGACAACAGGCATCAGTGCAGTAAGTCAACTCCTTTAGACACCTTCAACTGTCTGTCTGTTTCTCCGTCTCGAAGATTTCCGAGCACCTCTATCTGTTGTGTACGAACCTAAGTTATATAATTTGTTGTTACGTTCCAGACGACCGCAAGTGTGACGAGGAAACGGAGTTCACTTGCTTAGAGAACAAGTCGTGGCAGCGCGCCCAATGCATACCGAAAAAATGGATATGTGACGGCGATCCAGACTGTGTGGATGGGGCGGACGAGAATACAACGCTGCACAATTGCGCCACCCAACAGCCCTGCGGCGAGGATATGTTCACCTGTGGCAACGGTCGCTGCATCAATAAGGTACCAGCTTAATTATCAATTAATCTGAGAATTGAATCTAACAGAAGCTGAAAATAATTCCAGGGCTGGACTTGTGATCACGACAATGATTGCGGCGATGGCACCGATGAAGGCAAGTTCTGCAACTCCAAGTACAAGACGTGCTCCACGCTAGAGTTCACGTGCCAGAACTTCAAGTGCATACGCAACCAGTACAGGTGCGATGGCGAAGACGACTGCGGTGACCACTCGGATGAGGTTGACTGCAAAAAAGAGAACGTCACCTGCGCCCAGGGACAGTTTGCCTGCACCAATGGCCAGTGTATTGACTATAGTCTGGTCTGCAACAAGGTGCCCGACTGCACAGACGAGTCCGATGAGCCGGCCCACTGCAATGTGGATGAGTGCGCCAAGGTGGAGATCAATCAATGCGGCCACAAGTGCGTCGACACACTCACCGGCTACTACTGTGACTGCAACGAGGGCTACAAGTAAGATCACTCTAACTCCAGTAGATTTCAATCGTTACTAAGCGTTCTTTATCTCTCGCGCAGATTGCTGGCCGATGGCAAGGCGTGTGCGGATGTGGATGAGTGTCTGGAACAGCCAGGTGCCTGCTCGCAGCACTGCTCCAACACACCCGGCAGCTTCTACTGCAAGTGCGACGAGAACTATTATGAGCGCCAGAACGATGAGCACACGTGCAAGCGCAAGGACAATGTTCCGCCCTGGCTGATCTTCACCAACAAGTACTACGTTCGCAATATGTCTGTGGATGGCCGTCAGTACAACCTCATGCATCAGGACCTGATGAATGTGGTTGCCCTGGACTTTGACATTAAGGAGCAGTATATGTATTTCTGCGATGTGACCGCCAAGACCATATTCCGTGCCAAATACTCGAGCAACGATGATCTACCGACGGAGCGGGAAGCTGTCATCAGACACGACTCGCACGGCCTAGAGGGCATTGCCATTGATTGGGTGGGACGCAAGCTCTACTGGTTGGACAGGCACTCAAAGAATCTGGATGTCTCCGAGTTGGACGGCACCAAGCGGAAGACATTGCGCAGCGGCGTTGTCGATCCTCGCGCCATTGTCGTGCATCCAGGCATTGGCTACTTGTATTTCACGTCTTGGCATCTGCAAGCCTACATTGCCAAAATGGGCATGGATGGGTCGAACTTTACGCGCATCCTTAACTGGAACGACGGCATCGCCTGGCCCAATGCACTGTCCATTGACTACTTCACGGATCGCATCTATTGGGCCGATGCCCACTTGGATTACATTGCGTACACCGATCTGGAGGGCCGGCATCGTCACATAGTGCTCTCCGGCACTAGTGTCCCCCACGTATTTGCCCTTAGCCTGTTCGACGACTATATTTACTGGAGCGATTGGAATCTCAAGGCGATTGTGCGCGCCAATAAGTTCCATGGCGCCAACTATACAGTGCTGCGCAACACAACGCATCGTCCCTACGACTTGCACATCAACCACTCGCTGCGCCAATTGCCCTATCACAATCCGTGCGGCACCAACAATGGTGGCTGCTCGCATCTCTGCTTGATAGCCCCGCCACCGGAGTCCACCTATCTGAACATCGAGGGCTACATTGAGGAAGGCGCGCCCATTTACAAATGCGCCTGCCCCAATCAATTCTATTTGGCACGCGACTCCAAGACCTGCATAGCCAACTGCACGTCGGGACAGCATTTGTGTGGCGGCAGTGACGAGAAGTGCATACCCTGGTTCTGGAAGTGCGACGGCGAGAAGGATTGCAAGGATGGCTCCGATGAGCCAGCCACCTGCGGACCACGCCATTGCCGCGCCGGCACCTTCCAGTGCAAGAATACCAACTGCACTCCATCGGCAACAATATGCGACGGCATCGACGACTGCGGCGATGGCAGCGACGAGCAAAACTGCGAACTGCCCTGCCCACTCTCAGACTTCAAGTGCAAGACTAGCGGACGCTGTATACTCGACAGCTGGCGCTGCGACGGCGATGCCGACTGCAAGGATGGCAGCGACGAGGATCCTCTGGTGTGCCGTAAGTAACCCTACGATCGAATAATACTCAGCAGGGGGGCGGGGACAAATTCATTGAACTAACTTTGTAAACAAGTATTCAAATCTCGAATTATCACGTTAATCCAAATACAGACAAGCGCACCTGCGACCCTGAAACGGAGTACTCTTGCAAGAACGGACGCTGCATACCGCAGCTGTGGATGTGCGACTTCGACAATGATTGCGGCGATGATTCCGATGAGCCAGCCTACATGTGCCGGCAGCGCAACTGCACCACCGGCTGGCAGCGCTGTCCCGGCCAATCGAACTATCGTTGCATACCCAAATGGCTGTTCTGCGATGGCAAGGACGACTGCCGCGACAATAGCGATGAGCTGCCCGAGAACTGTCCCAAGTGCTCATCGGAGACGGACTTTAAGTGTGGCAACAATCGCTGCATACCCATGTAAGTGACTAAAGTGCTCAAAGCCATGCACATCGATCTGATTTGAAACTCTTTGCTTCTCTCCATGCAGGCAATGGATGTGTGACTTTGCGGATGATTGCGGCGATGCGAGCGATGAGAACGATGCGATTTGCAAGGGTCGCTATCGCGAGTGCTCCGAATCAGAGTTCAGATGCGGCAATGGCAAGTGCATCTCGTCACGCTGGCAGTGCGATCATGAGGACGACTGCGGCGACAACTCGGACGAGATGAACTGCGAGGGATATCAGTGCAAGAATGGCACCTTCCAATGTAGCTCCGGCCACTGCATCGCCAGCTATTTCCGGTGCGACGGCGATCGTGATTGTCGCGACATGTCCGATGAGATTGACTGCCCGCCACGATTCCCGGGCGGACGTTTCTGTCCGGAGTCACGATTCCAGTGCACCAATAATCTGTGCGTCTCGCTGACCGATCTCTGCGATGGCACCGACGATTGCGGCGACGGCAGCGACGAGGATCCCAAGGTCTGCAGCGACTTCAACTGCGACACGCTGCGGCGCTTCCAGTGCGCCAACCATCGGTGCGTAGCCCGCTATCAAATCTGTGACGGCATCGACAATTGCGGCGATGGCAGCGACGAGAACAACATGACCCTCTGCGCCAGCAAACAGAAGCCCTGCGATCTGTACACTCAATACCAGTGCGCCAACAAGCATTGCATCGAGCGTGCCCAGGTCTGCGATTTCTCCGACGACTGCGGCGATGCCAGCGATGAGCTGGGCTGCCATCATACCAGTAGCTGCTCCGAACAGAACCGCGGCGGCTGCCAGCATCATTGTCACAACCTAACGGATGGCGGCTACATTTGCACATGCTATCCGGGCTACATCATAGCGTCGGACAACAAAAAGAAGTGCGCCGATGTGGATGAGTGCGCAACGCGGCAACATACGTGCTCGCATCAGTGTCACAACATGAACGGCACCTACTCCTGTAGCTGTCGTGAAGGCTTCCATCTGTCGGATGGTGCCAGCGGTGTGTGCAAGGCTACGAAGGAAAATGTGGTGCTGGTGTTTGCCAATGGGCCAGAGATACGAGGTCTAGACCTGCAAAAGAAGGAGGAGTTCGATGTGATTGCATCGGAGAAACGCATCGAAGCGCTAGACTACGACGCCCAGCAACAGATTGTGTTCTGGGCGGATAGCTATGACAAGACCATAAAGCGTTCCTACATGGTGAATGCATTAGACGGACAGGCGAAGATTGGTTTTGCCCAGGATCTCAATATGAAGGGCGGATCGAAGCCAACGGCTGTTGCTGTCGACTGGCTGGCCTCAAATCTTTATTGGGCTGAGGTGGATCGCACTGGATCGAAGCCACGCGGTCGCGTCATGGTGGCCAAAACGGATGGCCGCTATCGCAGATCGATTGTGAACGCCGGCTTGGAAGTGCCCACTTCAATTGCAGTGAATCCGCAACTTGGACGTATCTACTGGGCCGATGCGGGCTCTGCACCCAAAATCGAGGTCTCTTGGATGGATGGCTCGAAACGTCGACCGCTGATCACAGAGCAAATACGTCATCCCGCTGGCCTAACCATTGACTACTCGCAGGATCACATCATCTACTGGGTGGACACCAAGCTCAATGCCATCGAGTCGATGCGTGCCGACGGCTCTCGCCGCAAGTCCATTGTCAAGGGCGACCAGTTGCGCCATCCCGTCTCGCTGGATCTGTTTGAGTCGAACATGTTCTGGGTAACGCGCGATACGGGCGAGCTGCTGCGTCAGGATAAATTCGGTCGTGGCGTTCAGGTGGTGGTGCATCGCAACCTCGTTAATCCGTCCGGCCTCAAGGTCTACCACGAGAAGCGCTACAATACCTCGCTGCGAAATCCCTGCTACGAATCCAGCTGCTCGCATCTGTGTCTCCTGGTGCCTGGCGGACATCGGTGCGCCTGCCCCGATACCTCTGGCCCGTTGCCCTCGCATCGCAGCACCGCTGAAGTCATTTGTGATGCGGCCGCCGAACGGCCACGTCCAGCTCCACGCATCTGCCCCTGCCAGAACGGCGGCCTCTGCAAGGAGGATGATCGCGGCGAGCTCTACTGCGAATGTCTGCCAGACTTCAAGGGCGAGCACTGCGAACGCAGCACAACGGGCGCCTTTGGTCATGGCGGCGCCAATGTAACCGCCGTCGTGGTGCCCATCATGGTCATACTGCTTGTCATGATGGCCGCTGTCGGCGCCTGGTATGTCATCCGCAAGCGTCCATTGTAAGTACCCCAAAATGTTGTTAGTTCTCTTCTGATTCACAATTTCATACCTCGAACCCATTGCCAATTCGTATTTGAGAAGATTGCGTGGCTTAGCCAATTGCGATCGGGGTTCGGGTATCTCCTACTCGGTCCTTCCCGACTAGTGCGCGCTTTTTGCTACAATTCACATGTTTAACCTTTCTTGTGTTCTTCTGAACAGCGGCAAGCTGGCGCGCATGCCTGCAATGACCTCTTCGCAGAGCGTCACCTTCCGGCATGGTTCCAATGTGGAGTTCAGCGAGAGCGGCTTCCCGGGCGCCTCAGCACCCGGCGCTAATGACATGGCGCCCATCGAAGGCTACAATTTGCAGACCGTGAATGCCAATAAGGCGCGCGACTTTGCCAATCCCATGTACGATGCCGTACAGCTGGGCACCAGCTCCGATCCGGGCATGAGCAATGGCTCAGGTAAAGTACAAACGCCCCATTTCTGTAGCAATTGGGCTAATACGTTTCCGTTTTCGACAGGCATCTACGATGTGCCACAGGAACCGTCCAAGTCAAAGGCCATGGGCCACTCCGGCTCCTTTACGGAGCCCGCCTCGGCCATCATTGCGCCGAGCAGCATTACGCACAAGTCATCGCCGCAGCTGCAGCTGCGTACACGCGAGCTGGACCCATCGGCAGATACCGGCAAGGATACCCAGTATCTGGTTGAGGAGGATAAGTCAGAGTGCTGATATAAAGCTAATCAGGCCGTGGTCTCGCTGCCGCTCAGCTGTCGACGTCAGCAGCGAACGCAGCCGCGGCCCAACAGTTATCCGCTGCACGCATAGCACCGACCTAATCAATACCAATACAAGCAACTACAACAAGAACAACAAGAACATCGCCAACAACATCAACAAAAACAACAGAAACCACAGCAGCAACAACAGGGACAGAGCAAACATCACAAATCTTGGCATGCAGCCTCCGGCGAGAGCAGCGCAAAACTAACCACAAAAGTTTAAACTCTAAATACAAATATGATATATGTCAATATATTTAACGGACAACAACAATAGGAACAAGAACAACTTTGCTAAAGGATCACCTGCCGCAATGAGGACACGTTAACTAGGCACAGTCTGTTGCCATGTGCATACATATCCATATAAATAGATGTATAGAAACATATATATGTATATCAAGTATATATGTATATATGCTCGTGTGTATGTTTACCTGCTGCAACCTTCGCTGCCTCTCCACTAACTCCCAGCCCTGTGCTTAAACGTACTTTACGCAAACAAACACTAAAACACATATCCTTCGAGACGAACGTGGGCGAGAGATCCAAACAGCCAACATAAAAGAAAAACGAGCAAAAGAAAAGAAAAGACAAAACAAAAAAAAACTGTTGCAATTATTATTATATAAATTTATACACTATATATACAACATATATATATATATAAATATATATATGTATATATATACACTATGTACACTAAGATAAGGCGGCGCCCAATCGGTTCTAAGCTGAAGCGCCTCCGGCATATTCCGGCCGAAAGAAAAGCCAGCGAATCTCTAAATTTTTAAGCGCCCCGGACAAAAACCAATTTTAAGAGTCCCAATATTGAGGCACTTGTGTCACACACATACACATACACAGCGCAAAAAAAAAAAAAAAGAAAAAAAACTAAACAAAACTTTGAACTAAACTGTTTTTTTTAAGCCATTTTTTGCGCCAGAACGCAAAAAAAAAAATAAGAAAAAAATTTGAAATGAATTTTGTAAAAATGCATAGAGTATATTTTCTGAACGCTAAATGACAATATTACCTATATATATATATATATGCATATATATATATATATATATATATATATATATATATATATATATATATATATATATATATATATATAAATTATATATATATATATATAAATTCAAAGCAAAAACCAACGCGACGATATGTTTAAATGTATGTATGTATGTGAACTTTGTATTTGTTTAAACAAAAAAAAAAAACAAAATAGAAGCAAATCAAGGCAACATTTATAAGCAAAAAACAAAAACTCTTCAAGCGAAAAATTTATATTTTTCTAAAAAAACTAAAAAAAAAATATAAAAAAATTCAAATAAAAAACAAGCTTAATAATATAAATCGCAAAGAAAAATAAACAAATAATGGAAAAAATGAAACTTTTGTGCTAGCAAGTTTTGAAACGAAAAGTATGTAGTTAAATGCGTATAATTTAATATATATATATATACATATATTATATATATTATATATGTATATGTATTTAGCTTACGACACACACTCACGTTAAATTTAAAAAGAAAATCGAAGTAATTTTTGTCTGTGCTACATTTGCATTTCTCTTCTGTGGTTAAGTTTTATGCGTTAACATTCCAAGACATTCCAATAGTTCCGTGCCCATGGTCCAAGCCTCTCTACAATTTCGGTCTTTAAATTTACTTATTGTATTTTATTTTATTTTACTTTACTCTTTTTTTTTGGTTTGTAGAAGAAAAGCGAAGCTTTGTTTGCGTGTGTAATTAACATTTATCGTTTATCGTTTATATATTATTTTATTTTTTCACTTTTTATTTTTAAATATCTTAACTATGTAATCAATGGTTATATTTTTTCTGTAATTTGTTTGGTCGATCGAAAGTTTTGTAAATCGTGCAAATCTGTGCTTCCTTTCAGTTAAGCGTGTTTTTTTATAGCATAAATTTTTAGTGAAAGATGAACTAAATATGTATGTATGTATATGTACGCTTTTCCAACCAAGTTGACGTCTGGCATTTGCCCATTAGACAACCTGGCTGGCCTTACATCTATATAAATATCTATATATATATATACATATATGTATATGTATATCTATATACTATGACGATAATGTGAAAATATATAAAGAGAGAGTATGTATGTATATTTAATGTCAAGTGAAAAGAAAACTATTTGTTGAAAGAAATTAATTTTTTTTTATTATACAAAAAGAAAAACTAAAGAAAAAAAACTAAAATAAAACATAATAAAAGAAAAATGTAAAAAAAACCCAACCGACTTGTTTCAGTTTGTTTGTTTATTGTTTGTGCAAATAAATAAATTGATATAGTTATTTGTGCTAAATGCTAAAGGCCTAAACATAAGGGACAACTCGCTCAATTGGGACGACGTACAGTAAGTATACAGTATACAAAAAAGAGACTGTCTTAAGTTTAACTGCTATATGTGCATAGAGCAATTTATGTATTATACTCTTATCTATATGTTTACAATCAAGAGTTATGCATAGTTAAGTTTATCTGTATAGGTATCATTTACTTATGGTTAGACTTTTAGGAGAATTGCTTAAGTCTTGGTGAGGCAGATGATTATCGTCTTACTTATAATTTTAATTGTTTACGCTTAGGTCTCTATAAAAAAAATAAAATAACTCCGATCGATTCACACGCACACGAACACGCACACACGGGTGTGGGTCACCCACACGTGCACAGCACTCTATGTAATCAGTGAATGTGCGCGTGCTTGTATGTGGGCGTGTGTGGGTATGCGTGTGTGTGTTGGCTTAGCTGATAAATGTGTTGTGAATGTGCACGGCTAGCTAATCACTCGTTTTTAGGCGCTTCACCGGCCCATCGCTGCCCTGTGAATTGGAGTCCTCGGAGAAGGGCATGCTGGACACGAAATCAGCTCCCTGACTGTCGCTCACCACAGAGAAGCCTGTACGATATAAGAAATATGTTTAATAATATTGCGAGCAGCATGTGGATCATGTCCGATTTATATTTTATTGCACTACACACTCACAAGTATTGGAGTCTTCGGCCGTGAGGCCTGCATAGCTGGGCGTTATTTGGGGCGGTGTGGGCGTGCCTTTTTGCGAGTTCTCCTTGTCACTGATTTTGTTATTTAGCTGCAGCTTTGACTTTTTTTCACTATTGGACGATATGGGCACCCATTTGTAGATCTTCATCGTCGTGTCGCTGATGGTCACCCATTTCTTTTCCCAGTGCCGTACTTTGTCGACAGCCTGCATGACACGTTTGATGTCATCCTTAGCACGACTGCGTGTCTCGGCGCGCACACTACGTGACATATTGTGTAAAATCTATGAGCAGGGCAGGGAGATGGCGTCTGATAGACGACGGCGGCGCTGCTGGCGGTATAAGTGAATCTGCAATTCCGGTAAGCTTTTAAGGCGTTCAACTTCCTAAGCGTTTCGATCCACTGCTCTCCTTTAACGTTGTTTTTATATTGAATCTAAATGTTGTTATAAGCTCCTCTTTTCAATGTTTGCAAAAAATGTATTTTTTTAGAAGTCTGAATTAAAGCGAGAAGCGAAAATACATTTATTGCCTAGTGTTGAAAAATATGTGTAAGTCTCAGTATGTTGATAAATATTGGAAAATGCCGATATATCGATAGACAATATTACGCCATATCCGATTTTAAGCGATATTAAATTTTTATTTTTAAATTTCGTTTTGTAAATTCAGAATACTTTTTGTATCAATATCATACAGAACATGCTTTATTTCTATTAAATTTTATAATATATATACATATCTGTAAAATATTAAAGCGATACTTACACTGCAATAGCACTTAGCTTTTGCACGTGTACATAATCAAAGTAAACAATAAGTGCAACAAAATACGATGATCTCATATTTTAAAAAAAATGTACTTTCATATTTTAATATGCATGGGAGTATACTTAATTAAAGATTGGCTGCAATTATTTTTATTAAAGTATTTTATTCAAAAATATATCGATACTTTCCATTCAAGTACACCGCCCAATCTGACTTTACCAGTGATCGATGCTAAGCTCTACATCGATAGCGTATGTGCTAAGTATTTAAGTTTTATTAATGAAATATACTTGAAAAGTAGTCTTATTTCTCTCATAATTTGCTGCTTGAAAGTCATAATAATCAAAACAATATTCATTGATATTTATTGTTATCATCTATCGCGTGTTGAGTATACAGTGTTATAAATTGATAATATATCGATAAGAATAACAGACTGACAAAACATGTCGAACATGCATTGGCTTGTTCTGCCACTAACATTTCTTTAACAGAAACCAACTTTTTCGACAGACGACGGGCGAGGAAATTATGCGCAGCGCGTTGTTGTGGTTATTTTTTTTATTTATTTTTTCGTAAATATATATATACCTAAAAGTGCATAATTGGAATGAAAGGCAAACATAAAGTGTTCCATTCACAAGTGTATGTGCATTTGGCATTAACTTTCGACTGAAAGTTGAGCGCACGATATTGCAGGCAACGCCATCATCGTCGTCGTCGTTTGTGTGCGGAGCGGTGTGGTGTGCTTAGGAACGGAGAGAAGAGAAGCGGACAAACGACAAGGAATATCGCAAAAAAAAAGTTGCAGCAAAAGCAACAACGTGCGTGCGTGTGTGTGTAAAAAGAAAAGCATTAAAAAGCCAGAATAAGAAGAAGCACAGCGGCAGCAGGAGAAAAAATAACGCAAACGAAACGAAAGAGCGCAAGGTGGGAACCAAGAACAACGAACGACAGCAAAACGGGTGACAGGCGCGACAAGAAAGACAAGAAAAACAGGAGTACTAACGGCGTACAAATATACTAAAAGGGCGAAGACAGCAGCAAAGCAGCAATAACAACAACAAAAACAGCAAGACTAGCAGCGATAAAATGTTAAACAGCGCCAAGAACAAACAATTCAAATAGTGTTCATTTGGATAAAGTAAAAAATCGCATTGGCCGCTTGCCCCGACACGCTGTGTATATAAATGGATGTACATGTGTGCGTGTGGGTGTAGGTGCCTGTATGTGTGTAAGTGCGAGTGTGGTTGTGACGATGTGTTTTTATAACACCGCCTAATTCGCAAGCAGCAGCAACAACAAACGCTAGCAAAATTATAACAGTGAGAATCTGAAGCTGGAAAATCAACACAACAGCAGCCAGCAGTCGCTCGATCCCATTTCACGCGTCGTCTCGCCTCTCCGTCTCTTATGTTGTTTTCTGTCTGTCGCACTTGCAGTTCCATACGATCCGGCATCGCTACGTCATCGTCATCGAGCTATCAAGTTATCGGCCATTGCATCGACAGTAATCATCCTCATAACCAACATCAACACAGGTTCCAAAGCGGCCATATCAACTGACGTTGCACCAGCAACAAAAACAACAACACCAAAAACAACAACAACAACAACAGCAACACAATGCCCAAATGCGATGTGAAAACCCGTTACATTCCGGCGACTTTCGCATGGATTGTGCTGCTACTTACAACATTTCTCTTCTTCTTCTATCCGTAAGTATCCAAACATATAAATCAAATAAATAGTTGAGTTTCACTGAACATCTATTAGAAAATAGGCCATTTCCAGGTCCATTTTTATTGCTGGCAACTGAAATAGAAACTTTTTTTCAGCAAACCTATCCGAAATTGTTTAGTATCCAGATGTCTCAAAATTATAATAAAACATTAAATTTACTATGATTTATGGGGAACAATACAAATTCATAGATCCCGTCTAATAGTTCAATCTGGGACTGGCTATGCATCTTCCTACTCACTTCTATTGGCAAGGTACTCCATACCCTGTACTGATGTTCATAGAGATGGGCATACTAGTATTTTTTCGAATGCATATTAATTACCTACTTATTAACAATAAATAAGACATCTATAAAAATATCAAATAACGGAACATTCAAATCCATTTGAACATGCTAAGTTTTATTAGTAAAACAGGGTATCTCTTAGCCAAAGCCTCTAAACTGAGTGGGCTGGGTCGCCATTTATTATCCGTTATTTACTTTGCGCTCATTTTCGTGGATTATAGCGAAGCTGCATCAGGACTTTTTCCAAAAGCACAGTGCAGCTTTTTTCACAGCTCAGTTTTTTTTTCGTTTCCCCGACAAGCAAATAGTTTTCCATGAAGTAAGTGGCATTCGCTGTGGGTGGAGCATGAGAAATGGAGACTTGCGTAATTGCATAATTTGTATAGTTGACAAGTTTGCAAGTTTGCAAAATGCGTCACTGGATCCTTTTTTGTATGCATGCTCTTAATTTCCACTTAATCGATTATGATATTACCCTGAAAGAGGCGTGGCAGCCATGACATCGCAATGACTCGATCTAGTGAAGTCCTTTTCCCTAGCTGCCGAAACTACAAAAGTCAGAGATTTTCAATTTTATAAAGTATATTTATGTAGAGCGTATGATAGCTCATTCTGTTTTCTTATCGATAAAAAAAAAAAGTATATATTGACTTGGGTGTTCCTTATAAAATAACTTGAAGACCATAAAAGTTAGAGAAACTAAGCTTACTTATAATTTAGATATATTTAAAATAGTTGGAATCTGAGTTTGTTACACGCTGAAATTGTTATCGAGATCGAGGCGATCCCCAAGCGAGGCAAAGGCTGAAAAATCTTACTGCCCAAATTAAGGTTATCGCCTATTAAAATATACTTACTACTTTTTACTAAGCGTAATATGCACGTAAATACATATCAATTTGATAGCCATGTTGAAATCGAGATGAGGAATTCGACTTTGTAATTGGTCTTTATTCGATTATCGCTTTCACCTCGCTCGTCAGCTCAGCGCGGCTCAGCTCAAAGTTGATTCATTTATATATATATATAAGTTTATTGTTTTTATTTTCCGGTTCTTATTTAACTGCCGTTTGTTTACATATGTGGCGTCATATGATATGCCGCGTATCACCCAATATGGCCTGGTTGGTATGTGACGCTCTGCAGCTCTGCCCTTAAGGCTTGAGAATCGCACTTGGGTCGGACTTCAGTTTGGGCTCGACTTGGACACAGGGCGAACTGTTTGTACTTTTGGTTTTAATATAAGTTCGCTTTTATTATTATTATTATTATTAGACCTATAGACCTTCAAGGGCTGCAAGCAGCGAAGGGCGAAGTGGAACGCTTTGAATTTCAAATGTGTGTTGGCCCAATGTTAGCTGACGGCAATACTTTGCTTTGGGGTAGCTTGGCGATTTATGGTTGTTGGTTGTTGGTTGTTTGGCACGCGAATGCCACAGGTTGTGTAGCCGTTGTCCAGCAAACCCGAACTGACCACAATACCCTACAGACATATACCCCATAATCAGATCCAGATGAGTTTAATTCTTTAAACATTTCTGCTCATCTCTTCTCTGCATCTCTCCACTTAATATTTTCTGTCAACATTTTCATTTTCTTTTCGCTTTCGCAAGAAAGCAAAAGTGCGTGTAATTGAAATACACTGCAATAATTAGTACAGGGTATAGCGCAAACATCAAATGGAATCAACCCCCGGCAACAATGATGACGCGCCCCGAAAAATTGAAAAAATCAACAAACGAAACGCGCAAAGCACGCGAAATTTGCGAGTAGAGCAACTAAAACAATAAAAAAATGAAAACACAGCAACATCAACTAACACAAATATACAACAATATATATATATGGCTATCTTTATATGTATATATGTATTTATATATATATATATCTACACATGTGTTGGGGTACACCGATAGCAGCTACAGCAACAAGAACCATTAAAGTGCGTCATTTTAACAATCGGCATGCTCGTACCTCCGCCCTCCCCACTGCACACCCCATCGCCGTTTGCCACCCAAATGGTCACACCATTTGTTTTACCTTCGCTCAACTGCCCTGCCGCTGTCTCTGCCCGCGCGCCAACCACCACCCTCAATAGCGTTTGCCAGGCAACCGTTGATATTGTAAAAACCGCCGCTGAGCGATTTACCTTGCGACGGTGTCGAATTTTCCACCAGTTGCCCAAAGCGCGTTCACACACCTACACACACACACACAAACGCACACACCTACACACAGCTTATTGTTGCTATCTATTTGATAATTCCATTCGAGGCACCAATTCGCAGGCAAAAACCAATTTCCACTTTTTCAATTCAATTTTTAAATACAGTTCTAAAATATTTAGAACACAAATTATTCAAAGACTGAACATAATATCGAAAGAAAGAATCAATACTTTATTAACTATAAACATAAATTAAATTAAAGTAAATTGTATATATACATTAATAACATAAACATTAAAACTGAGTTGTTAATCTGGCAATCTTTGCAATTGACATTGCTGCAATTTGAGATCGTATCAGAAGAACATATAACTACTATATATATAGTTTAACGCTGTCACATTCTCCTATTTACTAGCCCCAATTTTAAAAAGTCTAACCAAATATTAATTGCCTCGACTTTCTGATATGTGCTTATCACATTCAGTTTGTATTCGAACAGATGGCCAACGCGATCGATAGTATAAATAAACGATGTTGTGGCTAAACCTAAGAGTTTGATTGGACTCTGCGTTCACGCATCATCATCCTATATTATGTATATACAGACTTGTAGATTAATATATATATACATATATATCAGAATCAGGCATTATTCCGCATTAACCTTCAAGTAGTAGCCCTTCTATGTGATTTACTTAGCCTCAGTATTGCCACATTTACGGCGGACTCACAGAATCTCTGTCAAGCTTCATTATGGTCTCTAGTTGCCGCCAGGTCGTCTTTTCTGTCCAAAATTGTATGTTATGCAGTACGTGTGGCTGGATTCGGCACTTTTCCCCATGTTCTGAAGAAAAGACATCTCATTTTGCTTTATATTTAGAGCAGGAATCACATTTCTCTGTCCATCTGCCGTCTCTGTCGTTTGACGTTTTTGGCTACCAGGAGGCTTTAGTCTGCAATCGCAGGTCGACGTTGTGGACTGCGCCAAAAGCGCTCCATTTCGTGTGCATATTTATTAATAAATAAATAATAAATAATATATCCCGCTCAACGAGTAAATGGCACCATTTAACTGATTTCGGGAATTCCTTTGTTGGTTGCCAGCTTTTGCCCGAAATGAAATGAAATTCAAATTAATTGTGACCAGTTTCAAGTTACTATAATTAAATAAACACCCTACACAAATAATTTGAGACATGGGGTATAATGGCAGTGAGATAGAAAACTTTATGGACTCAAAGCTAGTCAAAACTTTATCGTTGCTTTCCCATTTTATCTCTTGTTCTCTCTCTCTCTCTCTGTCTCTGCCTATCTCCGACTACCGCAAACCTTCATATAGGACGCAACGTCCAAAAATACGTGGGAAATCAAACCTCAAACTTAACAGTTGATGGCATCTATGACATGTCAATGTCAACGAGATTAATGTATTTGAAGTCTGGAATACAGGCTAGCAGTTCCGTCAGACATTATCACCCACCTGTGGATGTAGGCGGAGCACAAAGTTCGAAATTGTTGAGTGCTCGAAATTTAGACTGTGATCGCAAAGCGATGTGATATCTAGGGAGAGAGTGAAATTAGTAAAGCAGTAACATGACTTGATTGACTCAGCTTTGTCAGACCGATCAAGAAAATATATGTTACGTACACTTGCCCAGAACCAATATACCCTGCTGTTGGGTATAGAACAAAAAATAGAAAATGAGTCGGGTGACAGCAGATGAAGCAGCAACAATTTTCAATTATTATTATTTTTCTTTTTTCCGTTGAGCCGTTTCAATTAAAAGTTGTAATTTGTGTTAAAAGCATTTCAGGGATTTAATTTGATTTTTGGGACGTCAACGACGAACCATAGAAACTGTTGCTGTTGATATTATTTGGCCTTTGTTTTATCTGGCAGAGTTGTTATTGTTGGGCACCTTTGATGGACATGAACAAGCAAATATCTGTGTATATGTGGGGTGTGCGCCTCTGTGAATGTGCTTGTGCTTGTGTGTGTGTGTGTGTGTGTGTGTATGTGTGTGTGTGTGTGCGTGCTCTTGAAGTGCTCCAAACCAAAACCATTTGACTAATTATATTAGGGCAAACTTTGCCTACGGCTTCAATTAGGCCACGTTCTTGAGCGCAAAGCTTAAGTTAAAGAGCGACTGGAGGTTAGCTGCTAAGACATGTCTATATATAACTATATGTACATATATAAGGTACAGAGTTCACATATGTGAAGTTGTAGATAGAATCGAATTACAACAAGAGCGGCGAAACAGGCAAATATGATGGCAAAAACTTTCCTATTAGGGCTATTTGCCATGTCTCTGCTGTGCTTAATCATTTTGTTGCCCCATGCTGGAGGGTCAGCAACGCCTACGCAGCGGCCACAATTGCGTAGCCTGCCAAACAGAATCCAATGCCAAATCCAATGCACAGATATTTCCCTCTGCTCTTTGCTGGTCAGAGCCTTGCCGTTCAATTCCTGTGCGTATTTTACGATAAAGTGAAGTTGGTGCCGCAATTCGAA